TCACAATCACAATCACAATCACAATCACAATCTCACAATCACAATCACAATCACAATCACAATCACAATCACAATCACAATCTCACAATCACAATCACAATCACAATCACAATCACAATCACAATCACAATCTCACAATCACAATCACAATCACAATCACAATCACAATCACAATCACAATCTCACAATCACAATCACAATCACAATCACAATCACAATCACAATCACAATCTCACAATCACAATCACAATCACAATCACAATCACAATCACAATCACAATCTCACAATCACAATCACAATCACAATCACAATCACAATCACAATCACAATCTCACAATCACAATCACAATCACAATCACAATCACAATCACAATCACAATCTCACAATCACAATCACAATCACAATCACAATCACAATCACAATCACAATCTCACAATCACAATCACAATCACAATCACAATCACAATCACAATCACAATCTCACAATCACAATCACAATCACAATCACAATCACAATCACAATCACAATCTCACAATCACAATCACAATCACAATCACAATCACAATCACAATCACAATCTCACAATCACAATCACAATCACAATCACAATCACAATCACAATCACAATCTCACAATCACAATCACAATCACAATCACAATCACAATCACAATCACAATCTCACAATCACAATCACAATCACAATCACAATCACAATCACAATCACAATCTCACAATCACAATCACAATCACAATCACAATCACAATCACAATCACAATCTCACAATCACAATCACAATCACAATCACAATCACAATCACAATCACAATCTCACAATCACAATCACAATCACAATCACAATCACAATCACAATCACAATCTCACAATCACAATCACAATCACAATCACAATCACAATCACAATCACAATCTCACAATCACAATCACAATCACAATCACAATCACAATCACAATCACAATCTCACAATCACAATCACAATCACAATCACAATCACAATCACAATCACAATCTCACAATCACAATCACAATCACAATCACAATCACAATCACAATCACAATCTCACAATCACAATCACAATCACAATCACAATCACAATCACAATCACAATCTCACAATCACAATCACAATCACAATCACAATCACAATCACAATCACAATCTCACAATCACAATCACAATCACAATCACAATCACAATCACAATCACAATCTCACAATCACAATCACAATCACAATCACAATCACAATCACAATCACAATCTCACAATCACAATCACAATCACAATCACAATCACAATCACAATCACAATCTCACAATCACAATCACAATCACAATCACAATCACAATCACAATCACAATCTCACAATCACAATCACAATCACAATCACAATCACAATCACAATCACAATCTCACAATCACAATCACAATCACAATCACAATCACAATCACAATCACAATCTCACAATCACAATCACAATCACAATCACAATCACAATCACAATCACAATCTCACAATCACAATCACAATCACAATCACAATCACAATCACAATCACAATCTCACAATCACAATCACAATCACAATCACAATCACAATCACAATCACAATCTCACAATCACAATCACAATCACAATCACAATCACAATCACAATCACAATCTCACAATCACAATCACAATCACAATCACAATCACAATCACAATCACAATCTCACAATCACAATCACAATCACAATCACAATCACAATCACAATCACAATCTCACAATCACAATCACAATCACAATCACAATCACAATCACAATCACAATCTCACAATCACAATCACAATCACAATCACAATCACAATCACAATCACAATCTCACAATCACAATCACAATCACAATCACAATCACAATCACAATCACAATCTCACAATCACAATCACAATCACAATCACAATCACAATCACAATCACAATCTCACAATCACAATCACAATCACAATCACAATCACAATCACAATCACAATCTCACAATCACAATCACAATCACAATCACAATCACAATCACAATCACAATCTCACAATCACAATCACAATCACAATCACAATCACAATCACAATCACAATCTCACAATCACAATCACAATCACAATCACAATCACAATCACAATCACAATCTCACAATCACAATCACAATCACAATCACAATCACAATCACAATCACAATCTCACAATCACAATCACAATCACAATCACAATCACAATCACAATCACAATCTCACAATCACAATCACAATCACAATCACAATCACAATCACAATCACAATCTCACAATCACAATCACAATCACAATCACAATCACAATCACAATCACAATCTCACAATCACAATCACAATCACAATCACAATCACAATCACAATCACAATCTCACAATCACAATCACAATCACAATCACAATCACAATCACAATCACAATCTCACAATCACAATCACAATCACAATCACAATCACAATCACAATCACAATCTCACAATCACAATCACAATCACAATCACAATCACAATCACAATCACAATCTCACAATCACAATCACAATCACAATCACAATCACAATCACAATCACAATCTCACAATCACAATCACAATCACAATCACAATCACAATCACAATCACAATCTCACAATCACAATCACAATCACAATCACAATCACAATCACAATCACAATCTCACAATCACAATCACAATCACAATCACAATCACAATCACAATCACAATCTCACAATCACAATCACAATCACAATCACAATCACAATCACAATCACAATCTCACAATCACAATCACAATCACAATCACAATCACAATCACAATCACAATCTCACAATCACAATCACAATCACAATCACAATCACAATCACAATCACAATCTCACAATCACAATCACAATCACAATCACAATCACAATCACAATCACAATCTCACAATCACAATCACAATCACAATCACAATCACAATCACAATCACAATCTCACAATCACAATCACAATCACAATCACAATCACAATCACAATCACAATCTCACAATCACAATCACAATCACAATCACAATCACAATCACAATCACAATCTCACAATCACAATCACAATCACAATCACAATCACAATCACAATCACAATCTCACAATCACAATCACAATCACAATCACAATCACAATCACAATCACAATCTCACAATCACAATCACAATCACAATCACAATCACAATCACAATCACAATCTCACAATCACAATCACAATCACAATCACAATCACAATCACAATCACAATCTCACAATCACAATCACAATCACAATCACAATCACAATCACAATCACAATCTCACAATCACAATCACAATCACAATCACAATCACAATCACAATCACAATCTCACAATCACAATCACAATCACAATCACAATCACAATCACAATCACAATCTCACAATCACAATCACAATCACAATCACAATCACAATCACAATCACAATCTCACAATCACAATCACAATCACAATCACAATCACAATCACAATCACAATCTCACAATCACAATCACAATCACAATCACAATCACAANCTTTGCCCAAAATACCCCAGCACCAACGAACAAGTTGACGATATGCAACATGTCTATTCCGTTTGTGCTGGGGAATATCACGTAAATCGCCTCCGTAATATTGCCGATATTGAAACCAGGCCGTTTGAAGAACCCAGCGATTAGTGCACACCGCTAAGAAGCCAGGGTGCTGTGTGATGCACGAGGTCTCAGCCAAGCCATCAACTTCGACTGCTTCACGAAGTTTTGATTTTATTTGATCAATCTCCTGGCAACATATGCACTCTACTGGCCTATCCATGATTTGACAATGCTCGCACATGCACCTAAGAGTTTTAAAAAAAGACTAAGGCAGTGGAAAGAAGGGTAAAAGGCAATTTCTAACGTACCAGTTGCTGTTTCGAAATCTTTCATGGCGGCCATCGTCTTCGATCTCGTGGACTTCTTCTAAAGGTTCCCGTCTGCGGCCAACGGGCTCAAACCGCCAAGGTAAAATAGAATTGGCCTCTCCGTCCCCTACAAGTACCTCTGAGCCATCGGAACTACTACTATCGCTACTGGAACTACTATTATTCGAACTTATACTACTGCAATCCTCCTCGCTAGTCATGTTTACTACAATGCCTCAAATGGGTTACACACGTGTGACGTAACGACATCACGTGACTGTTAATCGAGACGTTTCTTACGGAGGTCAGAAAAACCAATCTTTCCCCCGAATAAAAACTATCAAAAACTGAAAGAACGAGCTTAAAAAGGTTTAATATATGTTAAAAAAACATATAACCAACTTATTCAAAAAGACCTCTTTTTTTGCCGGGACGGGTCCTTTAAGCTTACTGTTTCTTTGTTTACATCTTTTGAGACAAGAGTTTGCGTACGCATACTTTTCACATCTCGTTTTATACACTTCTCTTCGAGCAAGAGTTTGTTTATATAAGTCAAAAGGGTCTTCAATGCTGGTCTGATATACGGCCGCGATTCTATGTCGATCACTTCAGCATTATTTTAGCTATCTTTTTTTATCCTGAATCGCCATAATTTCGTCTGATTCTGACTATTCTATAACCACATCGGTATTGCATCATAAGGCGCTAGTTTCTGACTCACAATCCGATATATTCGAAAGAGGTTTTACTGGCGCAAAGAGAAGATTGAGGAGTGCAGAAATACTAAGCCAACAAAATGACGTGACAACGCTAGTATCCAGTTCCCCAAAATGGGACAAAAATCAGAGGAAAATTGCTAATTTCAAATAGCTGTAACTTGACAGGTTTTTATCAGAATTGAAAAATATTTTAGATTTAGGGTTTTCAAATAACATTTTTTCACTGGACAAAGAACTGTTTTCGTGTCATATGCTCTTTAAGAAGATTCAATACTAAATCACAAAAGTAATGTACAGTATATAGGGAATATATGTGGAATAAAGATAACCGCTGTTTTAACTATGTTGTTGTGTTGTAAAATGTATTAGTTATATGTGATATTTCCGAGCATTTCGCCTATGCACCTATTCGGCAATGTCAATAATTCGCCGACTAGTCACTAGAGAAAATTGTAGAGAGAGTTGGTTGAATCTCATCCAGGTTTTTTTTATAGTAAACATTATGATAATATTAACGCGCGAAGGCTACTCGAGAAAAACATATAGTTGTTTGTGGTCATTCAAGTGTGGTAATTGAAAATTTGCATAAAGATTCAACCTCAACACTTTTGCATATCGGTCTTGATAAAGCGTTTAAACTTCAAGTAGAAGAGAACTTTGGTCATTATGAATGCTGTGAATAAACATGATGTACAATTTGTTGGATAGATGATAAATTATGCCTAAATATTTCAGTTTTACGTGGAAGAGTGTAACAAATCATAATTCGCCGTTTTGATTTCCAGAACTATTTTAGATAAAATACATGTATACACGTTTTCGAACACGGCATACAGCGTATGGCGTACCGTATATTCACTTCGGTGTAAATAACAGACAAACACGCATACAACTCTTTATCAAATAAGGATTTGTTCTCATTGCGAATTTATGTAACTTACGACCTACAGTCGAACATGTATTATTATTCCCAAAACATTAGTTTTGAGTGCAGTTCATATTTGTTCGCGAACATCTGGTGTCGCGAGCTAACTGCGAACCAAGCGCGAGCGAAGTGAGAACAAGTCGCGAGCAACTTGTGAACAGTTCGCAACCAAAGTGCGAACAGTAATCGCGAACTGTTCGCGATCTGTTCGCGAACGAAGGTACATGTGATTCCAGGAGGTACTGTACCTACAAACACTGGTTTCAGCTTTTTGGATGCCTTTAAATTGTTCTGACAGAAACTTCGCATTTTGTGCCAGCATCCAATCCCTATAAATTATATATAAATTATATAATCAATATAAAAACAATAGGATTATTTATGGCTTGATAGGTCTGCTGTAATCTACCAACTGGTGGTCATGGAGTAACTATAGACTGATCATTTTCAACACTAAATAAATGCTTCCTCACATATTGATATTTCAAGGTAAAACAATAGTCAATGATATCAACTTTCCTTCGTTGGTATTCTCTGATAATAAGTTAGTTTGGTTGTGGAATTTCGCTTACAGACCCTTACATACCATCTTTTACAAGGATCCATGTCAGGGCAACTCTGCAATGCAARTAACAGAAAGCTCATTCGATTTAGTAAAAGTTCTGACTGCATAAATTGATCACAATGAAGGACTATTAAAGCGATGTAATGCAGTCTACCTTATCCAGCTCTTCCAAACAACTTTCAAGGTACGAAGTAAGCTCTTCAACGTGATCTTTTACTTGGATATCATGTTTGTGTCTATATCAATGAGACACTGTCACTGATATTACAGTACCTGGTAAACTGTTGAATTGCCAGAAGAGACGTCCATTTCTTTTAGTAAGCTTTTGGAAAATTTAATACAAAAAAAGCCTGGCCGATGAACACACAGTATTGATTAGGTTATATGCAAACCCTCCGCTGACTACGCAATATTGTGTAATGTGCGTATGATGAAAACAAACGAATCGGATATGAGCATTCATACTTTGTTTTATCAGAAACTCATAAGGGGATTGAAACGTGTAGCACGGTCAGATGCTCTGGAATATTCAAAATGATTAGCATAATTTTGATACCATATTTGGGCCAAACATTTGAGTTTGAGATGAAAACAAAATGGCGGACAGACGGCGGCAAAAAGTTGTCTCGTTTTAAATGGTTCTAAAATGTAGCTAAAATGCTCAAAAGAGCTGAAAATCGTACAAAATCAACTGATTACCATCCAAAGGACATGGAATGAGGTATATTATTGTTCCAAATATGGTTGTAAAATGACTTCAGTTGATT